TTCCAGTCGGTTGGCCAAGTAGCTGTCTTCCAAATTTCTTGGCATTGACGAATGAGTGCTTCCAGCTTTGCATCCATTTGTTGAAACATCTCAACTGGTACTCCATCAATTCCTGGAACCTTGCTTCTTGCCAATGCCTTCAGTGCAGCTTGCACTTCTTCCTTCAATACCTTTGGTTCTTGATCATATGCTACCTCCTGAAATGGCTGAATGTCAAACAATTTTTTTAGTATAGTGACTGTGTATTCCTTCCATTTTCTTTTGATGCTTCCTGTGTCAGTCAATATTTTGTCCATAGAATCCTTCAATATTGCAACTCGAGGCTTGAATTTTTTCTTCAGTTCTTTCAACTTGAGAAATGCCAAGCACGTTCTTCGCTTTTGGTTTTCCACCTCCTGGTCTCTGCATATTTCATTCTAATACCTGACTCTGTCTTCTCAAGCTGCCTTTTAACATCTTCTGTTCACCTCTTTACTTCATCATTTCCTCCACTCATTTTAGCTACTCTGTGTTCAAGAGCAAGTTTCGGAGTCTCTTATGTATAATGTCTATAAAACTGTTGCCTTCGAGTAGATTCTGACTCATAGCAACCCTATATGACAGAGCAGAACTGCCCCATAGGGTTTCCAAGGAGTGGCTGGTGCATTCGAACTGCCGACCTCTTTGGTCAGCAGCCGAGTTCTTAACCAATGTGCCACCAGGGCTGCATGATGTCTATAATGATCTCAAATCCCATGAGGTGTAAGTCACTACTGGTATTATGCTTTCAAAATACGTATGTATAATCGCTCATAATATGAACTTAAAAACAGAAATGTTTACCTTTGTTAGGCTCTCTAACATTAACTATAAATCATTAGAAACCTGTATGTCATTAGAAAACTATTTCTAAAACTTCTGAAGTTAGACACAGAAGCATGTAAAGTATGTGCAGAATGTGGTAAACAACCTTTAAGGTGACTTTGACCCAGCATGCTGTGAAAAAAGATGACACAACATAGTTAATCTCTGTAAACTATCCTTGAGACATAAGTCTAAACAACCTCCCTAATCTCTAACCTTGAAGAAAAAAATACATGACATTCAGCTAATCTCTAATCCTAGAGAAAAGACACCATACACTAGTCTTTGATGTCACACTGGTCTTTATTGTGTGTGGCCAAGGTGAGAATGTCCATATAAGCCCTGATTTCCTGCTCACTCACTGAGAGAAGGCCAAGGCAAAGAGCTCTTTCTCTAGTCTCTTACTCTCTCTGAAGACTGAGAACCTGCTGAGACTCTGTCTACTCCAGCTAACTTCAGTCCCCAGCTACGAGGGACCTACACCAAGTCTGAGCCGTGGTAAAGCCTTCCTCCTGACACCTTAAGGGTAAAAGCCTGAAGTCTAAAGATGTGGACTCCTGAACTAACACTAATTGTAACTGTTAATTCTGATTCTCCAACTCTGAATGAATGTTGTGAGCTCTTACTTGTGTGCCTTGCCATGACTACCTTGCAATAAACTGAAGAAGCTGATGCATGACAAGCCTGAGTGTCTCTATTAATTTTCTAAGATAAAACCCCACACAACAGAGGTAGGTATGATTTTTATCCCTGAAGTGCAATGCATCACTTTTATATGGCCTTTCTCACCATGGGTGGGACTATGTAAATGAGGTGCTCATGTCCCACCAAGGGGACTGGACAGCTTGCTAATGCAAATAAGGTGCATGGCATCCTTGTGGGGGTGGGACTATGCAAAGAAAGTGTACGGAACCCTAACAAGGCGGATTGGTCAATTTTGCCATCTCACTAAACTTAAAAGAGAGCCAATCCCAGAGCAGAAGGGGACCTCCTACCACCAAGAAAAAAGAGCTGGGAGTGGAACACATCCTTTGGACCCGGGGCCCCCTGCACTGACATCCTGCTAGACAGAGAGAGAGAGCTGTAACACCAGAGACAGCAACAGATGGTGAGAAGCAGCAGCAGAGGGAGCAGAACCAGGAGACCAGCAGGGGACGGCAGTGTGGGTTTCCCAGCCCACGAAGCAAGAAAGCTGAGCACCTTCAGGCAGGAAGCTTGCTGGCAGAGTGGGGTGTCTCTGGCCACTTGACGGAGCTAGGCTCGCAGACCCACTGAGAGAGGGAGCTGAGCCCCTTCTGGGAAGGCTTACTGGTGGAGTGGGATGCCTCTGGGTACTTGTTAGCGGAGCTAGGCTTGCTGACTCACTGAGCAAGAGAGCTGGGCGTCTTCGGGCAAGGCTTACTGACAGAGTGGGGTACCTTGGGTACTTACTGGCAGAGCTCAAAGAGCTTTGTAACACTTGCCCAAGCAGGGCAGGGGCCATGCTGGCCCCAGAGGCCTGCCTGCCGGCACAGCTGAGAAGCAGCTGTCCTGATTGAAGAACTGTAGCCTGAGTCATTTCTGATCCTGAATTGTAACCTGTTACTTCTCTAATAAACCCCGTAACTGTGAGTATGGTCTGTGAGTCCTGGGTGGCCACTGCAAGGACTTATCATACCCAGCAGAGAAGCAGAGAGAGCCGTGGGAGGGATGGCTGGTGTGAGAATTCGTAAAAAGGTTGGAGAGAGGAGGTATGTCTGACCTCTGCCTCATAGCAATCAGCCTTGGGCTGATGCTGATGATTCTCCACTCCCCTTGTGAAGTTAGGAGAGGAGGTCAGACGCCACCGCCACGCCATTCTTACAATCCCTATTCTCACAGATAAGAAAACTGAGGCACAGAGATGTTAGAGCACTTGCCCAAAGTCACTCACTCTGGTCCTGTCCCATTTCCCAGCGTGAGCTAGAAAATGGTGAGCTGAGGAGTTGAACCCTGGCCATATGACTCCAGAAATTATACGGCAGTGGCTCAAACTGAGGGCCTGGGGTTAGACTCCGGTCCCTAGATGTGCTTTGTTTGGCTGAGATAGTAGTGTTATTTTAAATCTGAATGAAATCTAAATGAGCTGTCAGCGTTTAGAAATTGGGAGATTTCACCTAAAATACCCATTTTTGGCTTTTTTGAGGAGATAAGGAGATCTGGTCCACCTTCCTGCATGCCGCAGACCTCACCTGGCTCACTTCACTCAGCTGTAGTCACTGCCTGGCCCTGCTGGCCTGTGTGATTGCCTCCCTTCTTTACAGAATTTAAGGAGGTGATGATGTTATGAATATTCTCCTCTCATCCTTGTGGGGTGTTCACTCTCTGCTTCCAAGTGGTAGGAGCTCTAGACCAGTGCTCAGAGCCTAAAGCGACAACTGGGGACATGCCCCGCTAGCCCTGGGACTCCTGAGTAGACCAGGAGAGAGGAATCCCAAATTTGCTCAGGAGAGGTGGGGTGGGGGTGAGAGGCCGGGGATAGATGGGCAAAGAGCCTCAGGCAGGAGCCAAGGGGATGGATCATGCCCACGTCTCTTTCCCCAGCACCAGCCTCTCTCCTGAACCCCAGACCTTGGGGATTCCATGGATTCCTGGACACCTCCCTGGACATCTCCCAGGCTTCTCCCACCTGCTGGGTCCCACACTAGCCCCACTGCTATCTCAACTTATCCCTCTGTCTGGGTTCCCATCTCAGGGGTGGCCCCACTGTCCCCTAGTGCCCTGCTGCGCCTCACCCTGGATGCCTCCCTCCCTCTCCCATCCCAGCCCACCAACCCCGTGACCTGTCCAACTGGCCTTCTAAGTATCTCCCCCACCCACCCCTTCCCTAGCCAACTCACCCTGGTCCTGTCCCATCCTCTCCCTGGGCTCCCAGCCTCAGTCTCCCCTTCTGATCCACTCTCCACTAGATGGCCACAGCGCAATCCTCCTAAACCAAACCTGACTCTGATCCTCCCCTGCTTAGAATCCTCCATGGCTCTGAGTGCTCCCAGCCTAGGGTTCACAAGCTCGCACAATCCTGTCTACTGCTCTCCCTATCTTCACTGATAGTCAAGTCCACTTCACTTTTCCACTCACAATTTTTTGGCATTTGAGGGACATCTTTCGTAACCAACTCCTCAGTTTAAAACCCTCTCTTGGGTACTCATTTCCCTCAGAGCAAAACCCAAAGCCTTCACTGTGACCCACAAGATCTGTTCCCCTTCCCCATCACCCTCTGCCTCCATCTCCTCACACTCACCCCCAGCTCCCTCTGCTCCAGCCATACTGAATTCCCTGCTGTTCCTTGAACAGACCAGCCCAGGCTTACCCCGCAGGGCTTTTTCAAAGCTGTTTCCTTTCTCTGATTTGCTGTTCCCCCACATATCCTCACGGCTCTTCTCCCTCACTGTGCCCCATTCCTGATCCCCTCACCTTTTCTTTCTTTTTTAAATTAAATAACACTCATCCCTTCTAAGGAGCCCTGGTGCCGCAGTGGCTAAGCGCTCGGCTGCTCACCAAAAGGTCAGCAGTTGGAATCCACCAGGCGCTCCCTGGAAACCCTGTGGGGCAGTTCTACTCTGTCCTATAGGGTTGCTATGAGGCGGAACTGACTCGACGGCAACGGGTTTGGTTTTTTGGGTTTTATCCCTTCTAACATCCAACATCACTGTACTACATTTTTTGGTCTGGATTCCGTGCCTTTCCCACCGCCCTCACCTAGTCATTCCTGGGTTCCCATCAGCTCTGCCCCAACCCAAAATGACTTTCCCTCTCTGAGGTTCAGTTTTCCCTTCTGCCCTATTTCCTACTCCCTAGAATTATTGGGATAGGATGATTGTGAGGATTAAAAGCGTCACTGTACCTTAGGCGCACAGCACCATGCTTGACTCTTGACTACTGTTGACCAAGGGAAACCGAGGCAGAGCTAAGGAAAGGGTCCTCTGAGCCACCATCATTCAATTTCAAAGCTACTGGGGCAATAGAACCCGGAGGGTATGAAGATGGCAGGAATCGCTCGACGCCGGATACCGCGAGTCAAAGGGACCGTAGGGACAAGTCGTGTATTTGGTCCGATCGCGATAATCATGTCTGTCGGAACACCTAGACCCTCATCAGTCGAGTACTCGCCTCCAGGCCCGCGACCTCAGGGTCCTCACCTGATTTCTCCACCTTCACCTTCACCGGGAACATGGTTTGGGCTCGGGGTCTGGCTCACTGGATCAGATGAGTCCTAAAGCGCGTGGGGTCACACGTCAAAGCCAGGGGCCGGCAGGGAGAGGGCAGAGGTACGCTTCGCGTGCGGCCAGTCCTCCACCCTCAGCGGCGTCCGCAGCGCCCGCCGCGCCCGCGGCCACCTCCAGGCTTCCCCTCTGTGGGCGGGCCCCTTCGGCTGTTTCTTGTTTCCATTAGTCAGCGCACCCGTGGATCTTGTATCCTGACCAATTGACAGTTGCCGTCATAGGCTCCTCGCTCTAAGTCCCGCCTTCCTAGGGGCCCGTTTCCGGAAACAAACCAAGGGCAGCCCCCGGCGCTTCCTAGGAGGTGTGGTTCTAGCTCCGGCGACTCCACAAGAGCAACGGCGCCTGCGCCGCGCGGGGCACGGTGGGAGACGTAGGCGCGGGCATCGCGAGGCTTCTTGGGACTTGTAGTGCTAGGGGCTCCGAGCAACCAATTTAGTTATTGACAGGATTTAATTAACGGAGAGAGACCTTCTTGTCCCTAAGAGGAAGGCAAGTCCGGAGTAAGGTTCCCGAGCAGGACATCCCTCTTACTGAGCCCTGGCTATGTGCCAGCTTTCTGCTCATCTCTTTGTAAGCACAACCTCATTCACTTAGCAAATACTTAGTTTACTGTGTGCCAGGCACTCTTCTAAGCACTGGGACACCGTAAGGAATAAAAGGGACAAAAATCCTTGCCCTAATGGAGCTTATCTTTTAGAGGACGAACGACAGACAATAAACAAATAAGTACAACGTTTTCAGTGAAATTAATCGAATAAATCCTGGAAGGGACATAGGGAGTATCAAGGAGGGAGTTGGAATTTTAAATAAAGGTGGTCAAAAAAAGCTTTTCTGGGAACAGTTGTTGGATATTTCTATTGCCGCAGACAATGCCTCCTTCAGAAAACGGGAAACTTCCATTAACCACCTATGTCTCGGCCCAGATAAATCCTAGGCGGCAGCACTGGGATCCAGACTCTGATGAGAATACTGAGACCGGGAGTGAGAAAGTCATGTTTTCAAATTCACACACGACCAGTACAGAATAGCAGCCCCTAGAAACGGCAGCACTGCTCCTTTCTTGGTTCTTCACCAGCAAAATAGAGTTCCTGACTAGGAAAGTTCCCATTTCAGAGGATTAGGAGTCGTGTTCAGCGAAAACATGCATATCATGTCCAAAGGACTATGCCTGGCACAAAGTAAATACTCAATAAATGTTTCTGAATATTAATAATCATATTATGCTTCCACCTCCAAAAAATGCCAGGAAGTCAATATTGAGAATCAGGGGCCTTTATTGGGGGCTGTCAGCAGAGACCATGGGAGATGGGAATAAGACTTAGTGGGCTCAAGAGTGAACCTAGAGCAGAGCAGCCCATCCTGGGAGAATGAGCAGATCCGTGGGCCTGCGCAGGAGAAGGTGTCAGGGGGTGCCCAAAGGTATGGTGAAGGACAGGTAGTCCCCGAGGGCACCCCAACGGGGTCGGTAGATTTGGAAGATGGTGATCCAAGTGGCCAGCACAATTACCCAGAAGAGGAAGCCCACAGCCGAGCGCCAGACATCTGTAGGGAGAACAGGAGTGAGGGCGGGTTGGTCTCCAGCTGCTCTCCGGCTCCCCCAGAACAGCCCTTTTTTCTCTTCAATAGAGTCCCAGGATTCTGGAACCTCCATCATCCCCACGCACCGACGCTCCGGCTTCCCCCTCCCTCCATCTGGCCTCCCTTTCTCTGTGCCCCAGACTCACAGCCCTTGATTTGGCTCTGCTCCGTGTAAGCCGGGGCGAGGAAGGCCTCTCGGAAGAACCAGAAGATGTTGACCAACCAGAGGAAAGGCAGGAAAGCAAACCCACCTGGTGAGACAAAGACCGCGCTGGGGGGTAAGGCGATCAGGGCCTTCCCCTCGCCTTCCAGCTCTGACGAAATCTGGATGCAAGCTCCTCTCCCACATTCAAGTTCAAATGGAGATCTCTGCTGTCAAGGGCTCAGGAATCCTGGCTCCTCCCTGGGATCCAGACATCTGATTCCTAAGCCACTTCTTCCTCAGGAACCAGGAGTTCAGACTCAAGCACCCTCCTCCGTGGGTCCCAGGAGTCCAATCTGCTAGACCCCTCCTCCCCCATGACCCAGAAGTCTACTCCTTCACACTGCTCTCCTCCAGGAACACAGGTCCCCAAAGCCCTCCTCCATCAGACCTGGGAGTCCGGCCCCCAGCCCCCTCCTGCCTCGGGACCCAGGAGTTGAGGGCCTCAGTCTCCTCCGTCCTCAGAATCCAGGCCCTCCCCTCCCTTAGCTCCAGGAGTCTGCGTCTCAAGCCACTACAAATCGTAGACCAACGGGTTCAGCCCCCAGGCCCTCCTCCCTCGGGCGGACTAGTCCAGTCCCCCAGCTCTCTCTTCTCCTGGGACCCTAGGCGACCGGCCCTTACCCAGGTAGTACTTCCGACACAGGTTCAACTTCTCCTCGTTGGACACCCGCTCCAAGTTCATAGTTGCTCCGTGGCCGAGCTTCGTCCCAAGGGTCTGCGGGGCAAGACCCAAGTCTCGATCCCAGAAGGACAGCTCCGAGGATCGCGAACAACCACGCCCCTGTCACGACAAATCGGAGGCAAACTTAGCGGTGGCTTTGCTGAAAGAAGGGCATCCCCGTCTCAGCTGGCTAAGACGTTCTTTAAGTTTATCGGGGTGCGCGAAACGACCCCCACAACTCACCAGCGGAGTGGAACCCTACTTTCTCCGGCTTGATGTTTCTGCTACTTTCAATCGCGGACGTCTGCGGGGGAGACGTCGCAGGTATCTCTGGAGCTTGTAGTCTCGTCTTTTTGTTTTTTTTCCTTTTTTTGGCGAGGCAGCGTTGTACGCATGCGCTCCCTGGGAACTCCCGTCGGTAATTCTGGGCGGAAGGCGAGGGCCTCGTACGCCGAGCGCACTGAGGGGTTTCTGCGCGCGTGCGAAGCGCCCCGGGGCGGCGGCGAACTACACTTCCCAACGCTCCTACGCAACGGAAGTGACGTAAGGAGCAGCCCGAGTTGGAGGGTTCGGGTAAAAATGGCTGAATATTTAGCTTCGATATTCGGGACTGAGAAGGACAAGTGAGAACGGGCGTAGGGAGTGGCCCCTCGGGAGGGCCGGGGACGGGGCATTTGGGTCCCTGATGGCTGGGCGGCTTGGGGCGGTGTTTCTGGGGTGTCCGGTCTCCCCGGCCCTCGGTTCACCTCTGTCTTTGCACCTCTTCCAGGGTTAACTGCTCTTTTTACTTTAAGATCGGGGCCTGCCGGCACGGGGACCGGTGCTCCCGGCTTCACAACAAACCGACGTTCAGCCAGGTGAGGCCCAGCGCGGAGCTCCCAGGGTTAACGCCTCTTGGCCCCGCCCCTTCTGCCGTCCATCATCAGGCGGTCCCGCCTTTTCCGGCTTTCCGAGCCTCCCGCCCCCTTAGCGCTCGGCTCTTTTCTTGTGGGGGCCTCTCTGCGGGCTCCTTCCCCCGCATCCTTCAGGCCCTAGCCGCGCCCCGTGCGTACAAACTACACCTTGGGTTGCCCACACTGCTAGGTACTCCCTTTGTGGTTTCCTTAGGGCCAACCTTCGCAGATGCGTTCACGGTACTTACTTAGGCTCCGCCTCTGGTGCAAGGTGCCACCCACATGTAGCCTTTAACCCTTTGGTGACCCAGTTATTTTTCTGCTTTGAATTTTTTGTTGCTACCATGTGTTTTCATTAGTGGAAGCATGCTGAATCATTGAGTGTGTCTGAATTTTTGGTAGGTTAGTGTGGATTTCTTTTTCTTGTCCCCTCCCACAAGTCTACCCTGTTTAGTGGTACATATTAAGTACCACGAATTACACTAATTATAGCCCGTGGCGTAGTGGTTAAGTGATACGGATGCTAACCAAAAGGTCGGTGGTTCGAATCCACCAGCTGCTGCTTGGAAACCCTATGGGGCAGTTCTACTCTACTCCGATCAACTGGACGGCAACAGGTTTAATTATACCCCAGAGTCCCCACCAGGGTCTGTGGGTACATACATGTAACATAAAAATTACAAAATTTCTGTTTTTCCTACCAAGAATTCAGACACCTCATACAATACCCTGTAAAAACAGTAATTTGCAGCACATGCCTATTTCTTTGGTTTCAAACGGTCATAAAGGCCCCTGCCTTTCGGCAGCACCCCTGTCAGTGATACAGCAGCTTCCCAGTAACGCCGAGACTGAAAAAGTTCATGGTCGCTATATGTACCGCTGAGCACGAAAGGGCAGTCTCTGTTCCCAGCTTTCATAAGACCTTTGCACGTATCTCTGCCCCGTGTACTCACCCTGCTCCTTTTAATTCTGTTCAGACCATAGTGCTGCTCAATCTGTACCGGAATCCACAGAACACGGCCCAGACTGCGGATGGATCGCACTGTGAGTGAGGGGCTAGGCTTGGGGGTAGGGCGGACACCCCCCAGCAGGCCATCCCCCTGATCCCACCCTGCACCCCTCCTCCAGGTCATGTCAGCGACGTGGAAGTGCAGGAACACTATGATAACTTCTTTGAGGTGAGGGTTGGCAGGGCCGGGCTGGGTGTCCCCTGGGCCAGGAGCTCAACAGAGTACCTCCCGGTCTCCTGCAGGAGGTGTTCACGGAACTGCAGGAGAAATACGGGGAGATTGAAGAGATGAATGTGTGCGACAACCTGGGAGACCATCTTGTAGGGAACGTCTATGTCAAGGTGCCTGCCGGCCCCCCATTAGAGCCCAGAAGGAGAGGCACTGCAATGCCCAGTGGGCGCCACTGATACCTCGTGGCTTGAGGGCCATCTCTAAATCCAGTCTGCCCCCAGAGCTGCTAACCAGTTCCCTGAAGATTTCAGAGTTTGACTGTCAACCCTGACCCACTCTCCCCTTAGTTCCGGCGGGAGGAGGATGCAGAGCGGGCGGTGACTGAACTGAATAACCGCTGGTTCAATGGGCAGGCCGTGCACGCCGAGCTATCTCCTGTCACTGACTTCCGGGAGTCTTGCTGTCGACAGTACGAGATGGGGTACGGTGGCAAGGGGATGGGGCGGGCACCTGGGGGCTGAGACTCCTGAGTGTGCGAGAGGGCGGGGGCTGCCAAACGCTCTCCTGTCTGGCCTTTGCCCAGGGAATGTACTCGAGGTGGCTTCTGCAACTTCATGCATCTGCGGCCCATCTCCCGGAACCTCCGGCGGCAACTCTATGGGCGGGGCCCTCGGCGCAGGTACCTCGGGACCGGCCTCCCAAGACTCCTCATACCCCGAGGCCAGCCTGGATACCCTGAAAGCGGCCTGATCCTCTCTCTTAGCGATAGTACGCCAAGCCCTCTGTGCCCTGAGGCTAGCCCGAGCCACATCCTGAGATCAGCACCGGAGTCCTGACCCCAGGAGCTGCCTGAATCCCGCAGACCAGCCCCAAGTTCCTACTCCTAGACGACTCCTGGGAACCTCGCCCCACCCCAGAGCTGGGAGGCAGGCCTGCAGGGTCTACCCACTACTCCCCGTGGCTCTAACCCTCTGTCTCTCCAGGTCGCCCCCAAGGTCCCATACCGGCCACCGTCCCCGAGAAAGGAATCGACGGCGTTCCCCAGACCACCGGCATGGCCGCTTTTGAAACCCTGGCCCCTTTGCCCTCCACCCTGGACAGGCACAGTTCCTGGTCCGACCCCTCCTCAAAGCTCCGCTCCCTCCCCACCCCCATCTTCCCCAGGCTCCGGAACTCCACGATGAAATCTGTTGGACACAGGGAGCTAATAAAGTACGTATTTGCTAGCCTGTGGGCTGGAGTTTCTTCTCCACCCCCGTGTCTCCTGACAAAAGGGGAAGTGAGGCTGGGTTCCGGCCGGAACCTCAGCCGCGGAACTTCGCCTAACAGGTGGGGAAGCAGCGGGCACAGGCCGGGGCCCTGGAGGCCCCTAGCTGGGACTGGTGGGGTGGGGACACGTTCCCTGAAGCCGTAGCCCTTCCATTCAAGGCTGCTCAAAGAGGGAGATGTCTGGCTGTGGCAGGTTCGGGGATTCTCAGCCTAGAGGAGACTGGGGTTAGTAGCTACAGTGGAGTGGCTGGGAGTGGAGTAGAGGGAGGCTTCAGCGGATTAGGGCTGGGTCCCCAATGCCCGCTGCCCCGAAATGGAAGCTGATAATACCTAACACTTAAGTGGCACTTATTGTATGCCAGGCATTGTTCTAAGGGCTGTACTTCTAGTCACGGTTTTAATTCTTCACAGTAACCCTATGAGACAGGTACTACTATTATCCCATTTTACAGATGGGACAGGGGAGGGCGGGAACGTGTGGCAATGGCAGAGTCCAGAACTCTGGCTCCAGAGTCCTAGCTCCTAGCCACCTTGAGGTCTTACGGGTCCCTCTGATAAAAGGTAGGGAGTTGGGATGGAGGGAGGAGGCAGATTCCTAACTTCTAAACTGGTTTGGGGGTCTCAGGCTCCCCCACACACTGCTTCCTTCCTCCAATCGGGCTTCCTGGAAAGTGCGGCAGCGGCTCTGTGGCCGGAAGTCCTGTGATCACGGCCCGCCAGGCTGCAGGCCCCGCCCATGGGTCCTCGACACCTCCTGACCGCCGCGCTGCTCCTGGCCCAGGCGAAGCCGCTGAAGGCCTCCCTGCTCTGCGGCCGCCTTGAGTACTGGAACCCAGACAACGGGTGCTGCGGCAGCTGCCTGCAGCGCTTCGGGCCGCCCTCCTGCCCGGGTGAGAAGCAGCGACGAGGTTCACGCTTATACCCAGGCGGAGCGAGCGGAGGTTAGGGGGCGGGGGAGCGGCCCAGGCCTGGCGGGTACCGCCCGTGTTGTGTACTTCGGGGTCGGGGCTCTGGGCCTTCTGCGGTTAAGAGAGGCAGCGGCTGAAGGGACAGCGTGGGTTACGATAGGACGACGGCGAAAGGGGTGGAGCCTCCGAGAGGCGGGATCGCGTGGAGGGGGTGGAGCCTCCGAGAGGCGGGATCGCGTGGAGGGGGCGGGCTTTGTGCGGAAAAAGCGGGGTGTGGGCGGAGCTTGGCCTGCATAGGTGGGACCTGCAGAAAAGATTTCTAGAAAGGCCGGGCTTGTGTGGGGAGGGTGGCTGGGTGGGCACATGCGCTGATAGGTTAGCTCGGAGCATGGGAGGGGCGGGCCGCGGGGCCGGAGCCGCGGGAAAGGGCGTCCCCAGCGCAGAGGAGGCAGCTCGGCCCCAGGCGTGAGCCCCCCGACTCCCTTTAGACTACGAGTTCACGGAAAACTGCGGGCTCGATGACTCCGGCGACCACCTGGTACCCCCCTTCAAAGAGTGCGCTCCCGGGTGGTGCAACCCCGACGGCGCGGAGCTCTGCAGGCCCTGCGGCGGCGGGGCTGCCGCCCCAGCTCCGGCGAGGAGCAGCGGGGGGACGCAGAGGCGCTGTGGAAAGGTGCTGGTCGGGCTCCCGAGGGCCGGGGCGAGGGTGCGATCGGCCTGAGGGGCGGGACCGGATAGGCGGGGCCTGGGTCTAGGGAGACAGCGTAGCCCCACTGAAGGGGTGGGATGGGGGCATAGCACCGGATCGAGAGGTGGCTGTCCGAAAGGGTCGGGGGCTGGATCGAAGCGGGGGACGTGGCCCCACTGAAGGATGTAAGGATGGGAGGTTTGGGCTGAGGCAGCAGGAGTGGGCGTGGCCTCCCGCTTTACTCCAAACTCCGTTCCCAGAGGCCGGTCCCTACCAAGAAGCCCTGCCCCCTGTCAAAACCGGGCGTCCTTAGCTCCCAGGAACCCAGCCCACCGGCGATTTCCAGTGTGTCGTGGACTTCTCAGCGCGGACACACCCCCGCAGGCGATGTCTTTCCGCGGGCCTTGCAGAGCTTTGCCCCGTCCGTGGTGTTGGTCTCACTCGTGACCTTGTCATTGATCCTCCTGCTCGCAGTGGGAAGGTACTGCTGCTGCCGCCAGGCCACCCCCCTCCCCTATTCAGGCTTGGTTTGCAGCGGCCTGGACACCCTCTTCCCCGTGCACACGCCCTCCCCAGGGTCCCTGAAGGCATCAGAGGTGGGGGACGCACAGAAGGCGGTCTCTGCGCTTCCGCTCCAGGGCGCGGGTGAGTCAGGCTGCGGGGCTGCGCGGCGCAGGTGGACTGAAGCCGTCTCTCGCTCCTCCTTACCCCTCCCTCTGTGCCCCAGAGCCGCCGACCCTGGCAACGCAACCGCTGTCTCGCCTCCTGGACGAGCTGGAGGTGCTCGAGGAGCTGATCGTGCTGCTGGACCCCGAGCCTGGGCCGGGGGCGGGGGGCATGGCCTGCGGCACGACTCGGCACCTGGCTGCAAGATACGGGCTGCCCGCTGCCTGGTCCACCTTTGCCTACTCGCTGCGGCCCAGTCGCTCGCCGCTGCGGGCCCTGCTCGAGGTGGTTGTAGCAAGGGAGCCCACCGCCTGTCTGGGCCAGCTTGCCGCGCACCTGGCCCAGCTAGGGCGGGCAGACGCACTGCAGGTGTTGTCCAAGCTCAGCTGATCTGGGGCGGACCTACCGAGTGCTCAATAAAGTTTCCCTTGAAATACATGCCTACTGACTCTGCGCCTCCTCATTAAGGGCCCTCCTCCCATGAGACGGCCTCAATGTCATCAGACACGTGCGGGAGAGCTGGCCCCGCCGGCTCTGGGCAACAGGGTCCCTGGAAGAGCCCTGCTGCCCTGGGGCCAGCTCATGGCCAGGCACTCAGCTGTGCCCTAGCCTGGGAAGAGCACCCACGGACCCTGCTGTAGAACCGTGCTGCTCTGGAGCCTGAAGGACCTCATGATTTACTCGCACCTCTGGATGATGGCCTCTGCCCTAGCTGCTGAGGCTCACAGGCCGCCTCGGCTCAGGGTGGATGTGGGTGGAGGCGGGTGCCCCCGGCGCCATACAAACAGGAAGGCCGCGTCTCCAAACATTGACAGACTTTATTATGGGGGGGTTCCCACCTGGGACCTCCCCTCTTAAATAAAAAAGTGCATAGAAAAAGAAGGGATTTAGAAACCTGTGTACAATATCTACATCCTGGGCCCCCAGGGCGGGAAGGGGGCAATTGCTAGGTGGGCTGGAGGGGTGAAGGCAGGGCCCCCGTCACCTGCAGGCCCACGTCCACCCTGAACATGTGGGTGGGGGTGAGATGCTCTGGGGGGGGGGCTGAGGAGCCCCCCCGCCTCAGTTAAGGAAGCGCCGGCAGCGCTTGGCGCCGCAGTTGCAGGGCAGTTTGTTGCTGGCGTCCTCGATGGGGAACTTGTAGTCGTAGGTGAGCTCCTCGCCGCGCAGGATGCGGCGCAGAGCGAAGATGACGATGTGCTTCTGGCCCTCCACGTGGATGACGCGGGAGAAGCAGTTGGGCTCACAGGAGTGGTTGATGAAGCGGGCGGCGTTGCCGTGCATCGTGGCGTCCACCACGTCGAAGTCGTCCATGCGGAACATGTAGCACCCGATGCCCTACAGGGACGGGCAGGGGAAGTGAAGGGCTCCGTCCCCGTGGGCCTGCCGCACGGCACCCACCTCGTTCCCATGGCCCGGTGGAGCCCACCTTCCCATCGTAGAACTTCTCTCGCTTGTCGGTCAGCACAGAGCGAATGACGATGCCTGAGTACTCGATGACCATCTCACCAGCATCGATGTTGCGCTTACAGAACAGGCCCCGCCCGTGGATGGCCGATCTGCAAGGCAGGGCGGCGAGGGGGAACTCAGGGGGCGGGGGAGGGAACCGAGGCGGCCCCAGGCCAGGGTGCCTGTCCATCCACCCAAGGGGCATCTCCCCCCCAACCCCACTGACCGGTAGACCCCCACGGCCTCCTTTGACGTCTTCTTAAGGTGGCGGAAGCGCATGGCCATGGGCAGCTCCAGGCTGGTGGCACGTCTGGGGGAGGGGAGCAGCAGTGTCACACGGGCTGACACCCGGGAGGACCTCTCGCTCCTGGCCGCGGTCTTCAGGCCCCTCCCAGTTCACTCCCAGCATCCCAGCCTGCCCTCCACACCTGGTGGACCTGAGCTGCACCTCATCCTCTTCCTCGTCACAGGCGGCCCCCTCAGGGAGCACTCGGTGCTGGGAAGCCAGGAAGTTGAACATGTCAAAGGTGCACTTCCTGCAGGGAGAAGAGAAAGGGCAGGAGGTCACAGCGATTCCTCCAGAGAGATGCTGCCTCCCCAGTCTGTGGCCTGGCCTTCCTGCTGGCAGGAAAGGTGCGGACGGCTGCTGTTGAAGACACAGCCAAAAGAGAAATGGGTGCTGGTGACCTGGTCCGAGCTCCACGGTTGCCTAGTGTTGTCTCCTAAAGCCTCAGTGTCCAACCTGTGCTGAACTACTCCGCACCCTCCAGAGCCCCCACAGGGCTCCCCTGACCCCAGCACCACACCCCAGAACTCTCACCGAAGATAGACCTCAGCGCGGGCTGCCCCGTGGGGATTGAGGGGTGGCTCCTCCTGGCCCTCTCCCTGCTGGTGGTAGCGGAACTTGTAGTGCTGGCAGCGCTGAGCCCCGGGCAGCTGCTCTGCCAGGAAGATGACAGCGTCGTGGTGGATGCCCAGGAGCCTGGCTCCACTCATTCCTGGGGGAAGTCCAAGGTGAGGACACAGTTATGTGGGAGGCCCACCTTGCCCTCGGCAATCAGCCCAGCCCCCAGAGTCCCTGTGGGCCCTCACTTACCACTGAAAGAGAGATGTCTGAGCCGGGCATGCCCTCGGGCCTCCTGCACTTTCTCAATCAGAGTCCTCCACGCCCCTGGGGAGAAGTCAGGGCCAGAGAGCTGAGTCAGGGTGGGAGTCCACAGGACACTGGCCCTCCCGGTCAACGCCACTCCGGACTCACCCTCTAAGCTCTCTGCCTCCACGCTGAAGCCATCCTCACTGCTGATCTCGAAGCGCAGGTGCGGGCCAGCCCGTTTGGGGGCCTGGTTTTCTTTGTCCTCTGGGGATGGAGGCTCTTCCTCAGAGCTTGAAGCCTCACCTGGTCCCAGGGAGCAAATGTCAGAGGAGGTGGGGATCACCCCTCCTGGACTCAAAGCCTCTCTCCCCAGGTCCCCACTGCCCTCCCAGCAGACAACACTCTCCCTTCCTGTCCAGGCACAAGCACAGATACTGGGGTCTGATGGGCCTCCTCCTACTTCAGCTGCCAGTGAGCCCTGCAGAATAAACACCGTTTTTCCTAAGGGGTCTGCAGTTCCTCTTCTGCAGGTCTTTGGGGTCAGGTGAGCAGTTCCACAGAGGCCTGGAGTGTTGTGGCTCCGCTACGGTTCACTCAGAGCCCGTCTGCCGTAAATGCCCATCTACCCCGTCCTTCTAGCTCTCACGCGAAAAAAGTACCAGAGGATTAAATTTGCCCCCGGATTTTTTAATATCCAGTGCGTTTCTGTAAGTACTGCAGATACCACACAGGTCCACACTTAGAGGATCGCACACACTGTACGCTATGAGCTGCGGGGGGAGTTTCTCCAGGGTCAACTCTGACTAGGTAGTAGTTTCGCTTTGTGCAGGGGCTTTGGATTCATTCATTTCAATGTCCAACAAATGTCTTCTGACCCAAGTCCCTGCCCTTGTGGAGCTGACATTCTAGCTGGGAGAAGAAAGAATAAACAAATAAAAAGGCAAAGCATATAGTGTCAGATGAATGTGAAAACACAAGGGGAAAAAGGAAGCTGGGAGGAACAGGAGAGTGTGGCAGAAGAGCCAAAAAGTTAACGGGACAGCGGAGTCGCTGGACTCAGGCGCGTAAGGGGGTGGGGGGCACGTCCTGCTCATTTCCTGTGGTTACCTGTGGGTGACCCTGGAGATGGGTCTGAATTACCTAGAGCTAAAAGAAAGGGAGGAGTCCTGGGTGATGCAAATGATTAACACGCTCGACTGCTAACCAAAAGGTTAGAGGTTCAAGTCCACTCAGAGGCGCCTTGGAAGAAAGGCCTGGAGGTCTACTTCTGGGAAACCAGCCACTGAAAATCCTGTGGAGCAGTTCATGGGGTCGCCACGCGTCAGTCAACTTGACTGGCAACCCGTACTGGCATTTGAATGGAGAAGAAGAACGAACTTTTTTTTCTTGGCCATTTCCGAAGTCGTTCCTCACAGTGTTATTTATACTTTTAGAAAATTGGAGAGGACGTCCGAACACATAAAAGGTGAAAAAAGGAAAGAGTGCGCACGGCATGCTGGTGATGCTCAGGGAGGCCTTACTGGAGAGCAGACTCCAGAGAGCAGAGCTCGGGGGAGTGAGAGGGGAAGGTATGTTAACACACCAGGAAGAGTGCTGGTGGCAGAGGGAATGGCCAGCGCAAAGGTCCTGAGGCAAGAGCACATCTGGTGTGTTCAGGAAATGCAGCAAGACCACCGTGGATGGAGTGAGATGAACAAGGAGCAGAAAAGGACAGAGAGGGAACGGGATGGTGGGGGTGGGAGGAGCAGACTGTGAAGGACCTTGTGGGCTGTGATGAGGGATATGAGAGTGCAGGGGGAACCAGGGGGGCTCCTGAGCAGGAGGGTCCTGATCTGACTCAGGTGTTAACAGGGTCCCTCTGGCTTCCTGTGGGAACAGAGCATGAGGGGCAGAGGAGGAGCAGGGAGACCAGGGAGGAGGCTGCTACATAGTCCAAAAGGGACAGCATGGAGGGTCAGCCCAGTGTGGGTGCAGTGGGGGATGAAGAAGTGGTCAGATTCTGCAGATTTAAGATGGGGCCAACAGGACTTGCTGGTGTAGCAGATGTGGGTTTAAGGAAAAGGGAGGGGGGGGTCGAGGACATCTCTGAAGTTTGGGGCCTGAGCAACTAGGAGGTGAAGGTGGGGGAGAAGCAGGCTTAGGGGGAAGGTCAAGAGCCCAGTTTAAGACATGTTGAGTTTGTGATGCTCTCAGAAGCCCTCCCCCACATGCCACTGGTGGAAATGTCAAGCAGGCGGCAGGACCTCAAGGACCAAGCCGAGGCTGGAGATAGAGATACGCAGACTATCAGAACAGAGGCGGGGTTTAGAGTCGTGAAGCTAGAGGAGAGTGCCTGGGAAGTGAGTGAGGGTAGGAAATCAAGGCCAGGGTCCTGGGCCACACCAAAGTTGACAGGCTGGGGCAATGAGGGGCCACCAGAGGTGAGAGCAGAGTGTGGGGTCGGCGAGGAAATGCTTCCCAGAGGGAGGGATCAGCCACTCAGCAGGATGTGGACTAGGAATGACCATTGTCTGTGGTCATATAAAGCCCATCAGGGACCTTGGGCAGTTTGGGTAGACTGGGAGGAACAAAAGCTTAGATGGAACATTTCCCAAATGCCTTGCCCAGGGAACCATTGATGGCAGAACGCAAGGGACGGTGGTGTTCCAAGCACACTCTGGGAGAGGCAGCATGCACGTGGCCACACTCCCCCCCACTTCTCTGGGCCCACCTGCCCACGTGTTCCCCCACCCTAGCAGAGACTGCAAATCTAGCTCTTGCTGTGTGACCCCTAGTCTCCAGGTCTCAGCGCTCCAGAACTCACCCCTAAAACTTCTTCCACTTCCTCTCTCCCTTGCCTCCATTCTGCTCCCTGAGCACACACAGGACTGACCACAGGGACCTCCCCGAGGCACTTTCTCGCCACCTTTTTTCTCAGTGCTCATTCCAGCCTGCAGGAGACTTGCCAGTGTACACATCTGTCTTCCCTACCAAAGTGTGCTATGACCCCTCAGGGCAGGGACCTGTCCGTCACCGCCACATCCTCACGCCATCTGTGACCCCCACAAGGCGCCTCTTGGTTAAGGGGCCCCAGTCCATCTGACGCACCTCCGTGCTCAGCAGCTCTCTGCCATGAGAAAATCCACACAACGGGGCGGGCATCAGGCTGCTCCGCTACCAGCGCACCAGGCTGCGGTCGACGCCCTCTCCCGCAGCCCTCAGTAACCACAACCTAACCAGAACCCTCCTCTATCCGCACAGAACCTCCTTTCAGCGCCACGGAGCCCGTCAGTTGGAGCCCGTCTGACTGCCCTCCACCCCGCGTACCGACGTCCCTGCTAATACACTTACCTTGCCTCCTTCCCTCCACCTCAGGGTTCTCTCATTCAAAATTGACCACCATGCTCCTCCTACCTGCTTTCCATCCACAACCCCCCTCCACGCCCTGTCAGCTCTGCGGCCTCAGCCCTCACCAAACCCTCCAAGCTGCTGGCCCATCTCCTCTTCCCCATCCTGCGCTCAGCTTTTCGGCGAGGTTCCTGAGTGCGTCTTGTTCCGGCTTTCCTCACTGTCTTCCATTCTGGACTCTGACAACACGTTCTCCTGTCCTGCGCCCCCTGCCCACACCAGGTACCGAGCCAGGACCCCCCTGCCTGGCGCTCTTCTGTGGCAGCCAAGACTGCTGAGTGTGCTCTTCCTCTGCGACACCCCTCTCCTCCGATTCTCTTCCCACTGTCCCCGCCCTCCTCTGGGTCCTGTGTGGACTCCATCCCCCCTGCCGCCCCCCAGAACCTCATCCTTGGCTTTCCTAGGTACCTGTGACCCCGGCCCCCCAGTTCCCAGGCATCCTGCACGGAGCACCTGCAGAGGGACCTCGCACGCTGAGCTGAACCCCCATCTCCTCCTGCGTCTGCCACAGGTGTGAGCCCCCCGCCTCGGGTTTGCACCCGGTCAGCACACAATGCCTTCTGAAGCGCAGCAATCCCGTAGCTGTCCACCAGCCAGCCGGATCCAGCACAGGGAAGGGGGCGGCGAGGAGGCAGGTAGGCTCCTACCTGAGTAGTGGTGCCACTGGGACTCAAGCAGCAAGTCGGGGGGACCGTCAGGGACCCGAGGGGGCCCACTGTCTGGAGGTGGCAGCAGAGAGGGCCGTTCCTGGAGGGGCCTGTGAGGAGAGACCCGTCAGCAAACGAAAGGCAGGAAGGGACCGAGGTCCCAGGGCCTCCAGCAGGGGGACTGGCCACTCACCCGGAGGTTTCCTCTCCAACAGGCTCCCCAGGATGATCCAGATCAAAAACGCCACGCACCGTGGGGGTCTTCATTCTCACTCGGCTAGACCTGGCGGGGAGCCGCGAGGCTGAACCCCTTTTCCCTTCCTTCCCACCTCCCCCGCCTGCCCTCCCAGGCTCAGCATGGTCACTCACCCGCTGTTACTGAGCCCTGCAGCCTGGGGGGTGCCCTCCAAGGACTCTCCAACCTCGTCCAGGCGGGGAGCCTTGCTTGGCGGTGGTGCTGGCGGGGAACGGCCAGGAAAGGCGGACACCCTTTTGATGCGGATGGCCTGGCGGGGTGGGCTGGGGGGTCCACTGCGCAGCACCAGCGTCAGGGGAGGGGGCGGGGGCGCAGGGCGGACCACCCCTACCCCCACCACCGGCAGCACACTCAGCAGGGGGCCTGGGGGCAGAGTCCAAGGGGTGGGGGCCGTGGAGGGGACAGGAGGGGGCAGGGGTGGCTGTTTCACTGGCGACGGGACAGGTTCGCCCTCCCCAGCCATCTTCACAAACACTTGCCCCAGCTTGTTGACGAGGATGATTTTGGATGTGGCGGGTTTCGGGGGCTCAGGGGCAGGGCCGAGGCTCAACACTCGGACCCCTGGGGACCCAGGGAGCCAGGCAAACGTCCGGGCGGGGTCAGCTGGGCTCGGGGGCAGGCCCTGGGGAGGCTGGCTACCATTGGCCAGGGGGAGCGGTGGGGGGAGTGGCTCCTCTCTGGGGCCAGCACCGCCTTCCCCAGGCCCCCCTAGATTCTTCAATACAAAATCCACGATTTCCGACGGCAGGTCCTCAGGAGGTCGGGCCCTGTCCCCTGCAGCCCTGATGACCCCAGCCCGGCCCACTCCTGGCCCTGAAGGGGGAGCCCCCTGGCCCCGAGTCTGCTGGACTGCCTCAGCCTCACTGTCTGTGCCGTCATCCACCCCATCCAGCTGTTCAATGCGGGGGGTTCCAGGGAGGCCGCCAGGGGCAAGGGCGGGACCAGACACCACAGTCACAGGGAAGTGGATGTAGTGGGTGTTGGGGCCGGCCTCCTCCTCTGAGCTGTCCCCCAGGCCCCCATGACTGCTCCCAACTGCCCCTGCAGCCACAATCTCTTCCTGGAAGGGCTCAGTCCCCAGCAGGCTGGCTGCAAAGTCCAGGTCAGCAGCACTCAGTCCTGATACCACCTCCATGTCCTCAAAGTCTGGGCCCAGGTCTTCAGTGGGTGGTGGAGGAGGTGTGGCTGGGCCAGGGGGAGCCAGCTCCCCTGAGGTAGGTGTGAGGGCTGTAACGACTGAGGTAGGAGGGGGCACCCTGAGCTGAGGGGAAGTTCTGAGGGGAGAAATGGCCCGCCGTGACAGTGGCAGCCTAGGGGTCAGGGGACTGGGCCGACGGGAGCGTCTGGGAGGAGCTGGGAAGTCTGGGTCTCCCACTGTAGGGATGTGGTGGGTCAGAGAAGCTGGACTTCCTGTGGGTGGAAAGGTCCATCAGTGTCAGCCAGGAGCTCCTGCCCCACCCGGCCCCACTCCACCCCTCCCCTGGACGCTCCTAGGTGCTCACCAGGGGAGGGCAGGGGTCCAAAGGAGACACCCCCCAGGGGCCTCCGAGACGGTGAGTAGTTGGGCACTTTGATTCGCGCCCCCGAGAAAGAGCGGGGGGCCAGAGGAAGGGTGCTGCTTGGATCTGACCGAGGCGGGGGGTCCAGGTTCTGAACGAGCAAGTGCTGCTCAGGAGCTCCAGGGGTGAGGGCAGCGGTCTCCGGCGGGGGGCTCTCATTGTCCCGGGGCTCTAAAGAGGCAAGACAGCAGCACCAGGGGCAGCAGGGGTTCTTCCAGCACAGCCCCTCGTCACGTGGGGCCAAGGGAGCCTTCTGTGCCCCGCCCCGGTTCACGCACGGTTCACGCACACACGTCAGTCATCACCCAGGCCCCGCCCCTACCCCTCCAGGGCATCGACAAAACCTCCCCCAACACGGGGCTCAGGATCCCCCTGCAGCACCCCGCCCCCCGGGCCAGCTGTCCGGCTGCCCGCTGCTCTCTCGCTGGTTCAGCCGCACACGCCCCGGGCATGCCAGCCTCTCCAGCACGGCCAGTCCTACCACTTTCTGACCTGCCCTGCACAGCCTGCCACATCAGACGCGTCCGCCCATCCCGCTGCTTCAGGCTCCCCTCCACCTCTGCGAGGTGATCCCTGCCTCCTCCTCTCACACTCCCCTGTTGCCAGTCAGGGCAAGCACGCCCTCCTCCCTCTGCACTTCCTGTCCCGCTCCTGCTTGGAACCCACCCTTCCCTGCAAACACAATGCCAGCCTCCTCCCGGGTGGCTCACGACACGACCTCGCCTCTCTTCACTCAGCTCCAAGCCCGCCTCACTCCGTACCGTCCAGCTCTCAGCTACAGGTTGTAAGGACACCAGGTGGGAACCGAGCAGACACAGGGTCCAGCTTTGGCTCCGCCACTCTCACCTGCCCCTGCTATGGTAAAGCGGAGCCCGTCCCTTCCTCAGAGGACCGTGGGGAGCGTTACACGGACACAGCCCCGCGTCAGGCAATCACACGTGTGTGCACGCGTCATCACCCCCTCAAAGCAGGTCCCGTGGTACTCTCCCCTCCTCACTTCACTGCCCGGCCCGTAGTGTTGCTGCCATTATGCCATTACAACAAGTGAAGTGCTGACAAGCACCCTCGAGTTAGTTTAGGACAGAAAGGTAGCTGTTGGGGGAGAGAGGAGGCAGGACCGAGCTGTACCTGAGGGAGGCGGGGGGCTGTGCACAATGGTCTGGTTCTCTTCCGCTGCCTCCAGGTGAGCGGGCTCTTCCCGGGGCCCCCACGGCCGATACTCCAGAATCCGGCACCGATACCAGCAGCGCCGCCGAGCATCCACTGTGCTCCAGTACAGACGGGAGCACCTGGCGGGGGCACACGTGGAACCAAGAGGGTCACGACCTGGAAGATGGGCTCCAACCCTGGAGCCCCCCAGCCCCACTGAGCACCCTCAGACTACTCACTGGTAGCCAACGGGGAAGAGCCGGCCTTCGCAGTCCGAGAGGTCAGACAGAGTTCCCAGGGAGTCGATTCGGATGGAGCCTGTGGTGCAGAGCAGAGGTCAGTGGGGCGGGGCCAGCAAGGTCGGGGGACCACGGCAGAAGCAGGTGGCTTACCAATGAGCACGTTGATGGCATCGGGTTCAAGCCCTGTCAAGAACTTTCGCTTGAAGTTGATGCCCTCAAAATCCACGTAGACTCGGCGGAGAACATCAAAACCATCAGGGGTCACGATCTCCTGGGAGGTTAGTGGCGAATGGGGGTTGCTGGATTGGTGGGGAACGAGGGGGAGGCGAGGAAAAGGCTCTGTAGGCAGGGACTGAACAGCCGGGGACTTGGCCTAAAAGACTCGGGGAAGACAGACGGAGGAAGCACTGAGGAACGGCAGGGCCAGGCCTGAGGCAGCACGGGGGGCCCTGAGGGCAGCGAGCCTCCCCAGCAGGTCAGGGCACCGACGGGGCAGAAAGCAAGCAGCAGGGAGCTGTCTCCCCACAGTTCCGGCCCACCTTGCCATCAAGCAGGTCTGTGTGCTTCTGGCAGAAGACTTTCTTGTCGTCCTGGAAGATGCAGTAGCTGGCCCGGGCGCACATGAAGTGGAAGTTGCTGAGGCAGGAGGACAGGCAGCAGCCCACCGTGGCTCCAGGCTTCAGGCAGAGCTCACAGCGCTGTGGGTGGAAGGGGCAGCTAAGGGGAGAAGCCAAGGGCCAGGCCCCGGCTCTGACACTCACCAGCACTGTCCCTGACACGCTGCTCAGGCCCCCGTCAAGCCCCGCATCTCGCACAGTGAAGGCATCCACCAAACCTAGCCTCCTCCCCAGCTGCCAAGTGACTATCACAGCGATTTCAGATTTTTGGAAACAAAGTATCGCAGGAGAGAGAAACTTACCGAGTCAGTCCTGTTCACCATCTCTCAGGCTGTTCTAATGCTAAACCTGTACTGTTTCATTTAACCCTGACGACCGTCCCCCGTGGTAGGTACCTCTATTACCCACGTACCGACGGAGAGCTTAAGGCGCTCTATAGTGCCTGGCCCAGGCCCCAGACTGGCAGGCGGGGGAATTGCAAGCCCGGCAACGTCTCGCCTCCCGGGGAGGCAGGAAGAACTCGGCCACGCTGTACAGAAAGCGGCCGGCATGGGGTCGATCACCAGGAGACTTTCTAACGTTCAGTCTCCCAGGCTTCAGGCCCAGCTTATGACCACGGGGCACAAACTACAGCGTTCTGGGACAACCGAACAGGAAGCCAGGCCCGGCAGAGAGTGTGACAGGGAGCCGTCTCACGGTGGAGGGCCCACCGCCCAGGCGCGTGCCTCACCATCTGCCTGCCTCGGGCCACGGCGGCGTGCACATTCTTGAGGGAGCCATCGTTCTCCTCAAACACCTCCGCCGACCAAATGGCACAGTTGACGTGTGTCCACTCGTTCTGCCCGATGTACAGGAGCCGGCCTGCTTCCTAGGGGGAGCACGAGGGTGGTGTGAGTGGGGGCTCCCGGAACCAGACCCTGCACCCGGGACTTCCGCAAGCAGCCCTCACCTTGGAGTCTGCATCCCCGTACTTGAGGCAGAGTGCACACTGCCGGGGGTCCTCCAGGTGTGAGAAAGCCGCTGGATCCTTGCCCTGGAAAGCTAGACAGGACGTGTGAAGGGAGGGATGGGAATCAGGACCTGCAGCCTGGCCACAGACTCAGGAGCCCTGGCTGGCAGCTCCCACTTGCCAGTACCTGCTGCGGGGCCTCCTGGAGGCTGCCCCGACTCTGGGGTCTCTGCTTCCTGCTGCCTCCACTGTGCATAGACATGGTCCAGGGACGGGGGCAACACCGCATTGGGAAGGACTCCGCTGTGGACACGAAGGGTCGGCACCTGTCATGTCTAACGCAGACGCTGGGCTTGGCCCTGCCCCCAGTAGCAGCCAAAGCATGCTGGGACACCTGTGGCCTGTCTGCATGTGGCATTTCTTCCAACCCCCAACATGCCAGGCTCTCTCAGACCACCTGTGGCATACGAAACGCTGCTTCTCATGCCAGAATACTCTTCCTCCACATCTCAGCTGGGATGTCACCTCTTCCAGAGAAGACCTCCCAGACCCCAGGCTCAGGCAGGTGTCTCCCCTTGGGCTTCCTTGTCATCGCCCTGACCGTGCAGCCTCAGTGCCTGCCCAGCCCCCCAAACATGAGTTCAAGCACAGAGCCCGCCCTGATCTGCTCACTATGGTGTCCCTAACACTGCCTTGTACAAAGCAGAAACTAAGCGAGCGTTAGTTCAACAACCCGAGTCTGCTAATCCAGGACCACTGGGGAGTCACATCCTGCTCCGCCACCCTCCTGTCCAGCCTTCAGTCTGTTCCTCATCTGTTCTCAGGCCCACCTGACCACTGGAGCCCCGTGTCCCTGCCTCTGCCCTCCTTCCCGGCTTCCCCTCCTGTACTCAGCCCTGCTCACTTTGGCAGCCGGGTACTCCGTCGCCAATACTTGGGGTCGTGAGCGTCGAACCAGCCGAACGCAGACTCTAGCAGCTGGGGAGTGGGTTAACAGAATGAGAAGAACTGACTTCCTCAGAAAAACGGGCGGGGGCAGAGCCCCCCGACACACCGCCCAAACCACTCCCCAGGCACCCCAAGGAGCTCACTCTCAGCAGAAGCCCCTTCATCTGGCCTCCAGCCCGGCGCTCTGGGGCCTCCCCTTCTTCCGCGTGTCTCGTCAGGATGCCCACCATGTCCTCCATGAAACTGTGCTGTAAGGGGTTTGTCAGGGTCTCAGCCCCCAGCCCAGCACCCCGTCCTGGCGCCCACCTGCTCCTCCCCGAGGCCCACTCACCACGGACTTGTAGTGACCTTCCTCAAAGCGCTGACTCACAGCTTGCAGATCACAGGGCCCCGGGTGCAGCTGCTTCCCATCCTGCCCACACTGCAATGGGGGGGGAGTCAGCAGGGCAGCGCCGGGCCCAGCCCCACCCGTCCTGCCTCCTGATCGCGTCAGACCTGGGTGCACAGGAGCAGTGGGCCTGCCACCTTGGAGCTCAGCAGGCCCTGGAGCACTTGGCGCAGGCCCCCACGTAGGGCCCCGTTCAGAGCCTCTCGCCAGCGGGGATGCGTGGACCCGGCACATGGCCCACAGGTGTACAGCACTGAGTCCGGCAGCCCTGAGAGGATCTCATAGTCCTCGTCTGGAACAGCAGAGTGAGACAGGAGAAGACGGGTGAGAAGGACTGCCAAGAACATTGAGCCCACCAGTCCTTTAAGGGCGGGAGAAGGATGTGGCCGTCTGCTTCCATGAAGACAGCCTTGGAAACTCTACGGGCCAGTCCCACTCTGTCCTACAGGGTTGCTGTGAGTTGCGAGGGGCTCAGTGGCAGTGGGTGGTGGTCCTCCGAGGGTGGGGGGTGGTAGGGCTCTCCACAGGCCGAGGCTGCGCCGAGTACCCTACCCACTGACCTGAGAGCCCCTCGCACTTGGCATGCACCCAGTGGTCACACTGCGCGCACTGCATCATCTTGCTCTCGTAGTCGTTGTCCTCATAGCAGCGTGTGCAGATTGGGCAGTAGTTTCCTGGAGAAAAAGGCAAGAAAAAGGAGAGCCAGAGGGGCTGCGGTTACCACCTACCCCTCAGAGGCCCTGACCGCTGCGAGGACTGCCTCCGTCACGTCCTCGTCACGGGCCCTCGGCACTGCCGAGAAGCTGGGGGAGGACAGCGTCTCCTTTCTAGCTCTGCCACCCCCAGTGCCGCATGGAGGCTGGGGCCTGAGTGTGCTGTCTGGATAGTGAGGAAAGCCCAGGTTTGTCGTAAACTGCTCAATCAAGAGTACACTTCCAGGAGGTACTCAGGGACCACAAGAGGACGTGGCCCTGGGCCTCCACCCCCACTACCCTCAGAGTAATCCTGTGTCCCCGTTTTAAATATGGAGTGGGCTTCTGTGGAGGAGAATCTTGGCAAGGAGGAAAAGGTTCCACAGCAAGGGAGTGGGCATTCACTAGAAAGGAGTATCTGTTCTAACCACCTGTCTGAGAACCTGTCCCCCTCCCCCATGGCCCCCAAGGTCCCGTCCCCCGCCAGGTCCCCACCTTTCTCATAGAGCTGGGTGCACCTGGGGCAGAGGCTGTAATCTCCAGACCACTCGACGTCCCAGTTCTTGCCTGGAGTCGCCCCACAGCTCTTACAACGAACGCAGGCTGAGCAGATCTGGGGAAGCAGGGTGATGTTAGGGGCGAGCCAGGCACTGGGCTGGAGTGGTACGAGGGGGCAGGTGGGCAAGGAGGAGGGATGGCGGCCGGCAGGACACAGATGAGGAAGGACAGGTGAAAGGAGAGAAGATGTGCGGAAGTAGAAGAAATGAGAAGAGCAAGAAGGAACAGGGAGAGGGAGAGGAAGAGAAAGACGCAGGAAGACACAGAACAGAGCGGCGGGAGGGGAATGCAGCGGGGAGGTCGGCAGGAGGAAGTGGGGGAGCGTGGAGATCAGGCTAGAGCAAGGGATTCTGAGCCCGAGACTATGAAACCATTACATACAAACTCTACGTAGAACTCTGTTGGAAATTTTAAAAACAAAATGTTACGTTTATCGAATTTTCAAAAGGACCGCCAAGCCTCCCCTCGTCACAAAAGCCCTGGCCTAGAGCAAGCCTAGGGACGGGGGCGGCATTAACCAGAACCCCAACGCAAGCGCGCGGGCTCGTCTCTCACCCAGTGGCGCCGTTTGCGAGTGGCCCGGGTCGGGTAGCTGGGCCCCAGGCAGGCGGGGTGGTACGCGTGGCGACAGCGCTCACATTCCAGGAGATGCTGTTGGGTGACAGAGGAAGACAAAGATGGCAGGCCCTATCGGCAAAGGAAC